ACAATTCAGTTCTGATCAACAGCTAAGTGCTAGCGCTAGTAAAAAGTAAACTTAGGTTCATGTTAAATTAGACAAAGATATGAGCCCCTGAAACAAATCTCATATTAGGAAGCTCTCTCTGACTTGTTAGTAGGACAGTATGAGATACTATTGTAATATCACATTTTAATGAAGCTCACACTGTCATGACGTATGACAATATATTTTGTAAGGTACTAATTTTAATATAAAGTTTTGTGTGACTTTATAATCTTAGATAATCTCTAAGTTGCTAGTATTATTGTAATAGGTATACAGGGTGTTAGGAAAGTAATATTGGTAACACTAAGAGGTGATTCCTTGCATTATTCTAAGCAAAAAAGTTCATTATAACCGAAAATCAACCGTTTCGGAGCAAAAAGATGCTGAACTTATTTCTTTTTAGTCATAAGATATATATATTTTGTACCTTAATTATTTAAATTCATATGCCTCATGGCGTAAAATGTATCGATACATCTATTTATTAATTAACTGTCTATCAAAATAATGTTCTTGCTTATTAAATACAATTTTCCGAAGAAAGACAGACAAACAAAATTCCTCACACAACTGGCAACCTCGTACTCCGCCTGCACTGCATGTATCAGCGCGTGTTGTTGTGATTACTAATACATTTAACTGTAACTTTATGTGATCTACGGGTTGGTTTGTGCATCGTATCGGTTCAAATAAGTGACTGATAATCATGGGAATTCGTGGTGTGTATCGCCACGTACCGGTAAGTTCTGCCATTTTTTTTAAGTAAATGTACTGTACTGAGAGCGTTATTAAATAAAAAATATTAGCCACAAAAAATTGCGTAAAAGTATTCAATAATTCAAGGCTTATTTTCAACAAAAATATCATACATACATAAGCAATTCGATGAATCAGCTGCAGTCGTCGTGCGCTAGTATCGCGGTTGCATTGCAGCGTTGCCAAATGTTTGAGAAAATTTAATTATTTACGACTCAATTTCCTCGAAAAGGGTTGAGTTTCGGAAATAAGTTATAATGAACTTTTTGGCTTAGAATAATGCATGGAATCACCCCTTAAAGTTACGAATATTATTTCCCTAACACCCTGTATTACATTGTAAGAACAATAACTCATACTGTTATAACTTTATTGTGATAAATTGTAGATTACAAAAAGGTATATGTCTGATAATTATTGTTAGTTACTACTATAGCTACTATAAAATTATCTGATTGTAGGTAAATAAATTGATATCAAACATATTTTTTTAGTTGTTTTATCATATTCATCCTCAATCAGTCAAGTAATTTGTTAAATGAATTATTTTGTTAGTATGCTTAGTATTTTATTGTAATTTAAATATCAATCCTATTCTATTCTTAATGTTACCCCAAAATACCTCGGCACGCATATGGAAAATCTGAAACCCAGAATATAAGTAATTGGTTTAATTTTATCTGTAAATTGTGGACACGAGATATCAATGATTAAAAACTTGATCACAATTTCTAAAAATACAAATTTGAATAAAACATAAATACTACATCTTGTTTTGTTTGTTCTTATACGTACTATGGGAACATGACCGCCCATATAACAAAATCCAGGGGGGGCATGTTTGGTTTACAGGTTGTGCAGGATCAAAAACGCTGACAATTGAAGACGGGGGGGGGGGGTGTGCATAATAATATCTTCTATGTTGGGACGTTCCACTTCTTACCCAAGGATTGGGTATCTTATTAAGAATATCAGAATATTTCACTTTGAATCAGAATCCAGGGGGGGCATATGTATACAGGGTTATCCAAATTAAGTGTCCACCATTAGTAACTTTGTTATTAGTGAAAATACAAAGTTGTTTGAATTAGCAAACTAGTAGCATTTTTAACGCTGGTAAAAATGAGAAATAAAAAAAAACAATTGAGAGTCGTTATTTTGATTTTTTTCAGTAAAATAACATTTTTTTAAATAGAAACCCCTGTATATTATATTTTTTCTGTTAAAGCATCAAATTTTAAACAAAAAAGCTTACAATAACTTTTCTCCTAGGTTACAAATTGTTGAAGTTATGGCCTCCAATCTGAAACAATTAAATTGTATCGACAAACTTTATTTTCAACATCAACTTATAATCTTACAAAATACAATAACAATTTTTTTTAAAGAAGATGCTCGAAAACACCACCTTGTTCTTCAATACATTTTTGGGCACGTTTTTCAACTGCTCGAAGTGTCTTAAGTATGGTCCTACCATCTATCTGGGTTATCTTTTCCCTAACTGCAGTCTTTAACGCGTCAAGGTTATCGTACCTTCGCTTGTAAATTTGGTTCTTTAAGTAACCCCACAAGAAGCAATCAAGTGGGTTTAGATCTGGTGATCTGGGAGGCCACTGTATTGGGCCATTTGTTCCTATCCACTGATCATTAAAAGTAGTACTTAGAAAATGATAAGTACCTCTGGAGTTGTGGGCAGGTGCGCCATCTTGCTGAAAATGCAGATGATGTCTACTTATAAGATCCAATTCGTCTAAGAAATTTGTCAGAATTTCTGACATAAATTCCACATATCTTTCACCAGTTAGGGTTCCCTCATAAAAGAAGGGGCCAACAATTTTTGAACCAATTATACCGCACCAAACGTTGAAACTGAAACGGACTTGTGGACCTCTTGGATGTACTAACAAAAGATTTTCTCTTGACCAATAATGGTGGTTTTTTCTATTAAACATTCCAGAATTTGAAAAATTTGATTCATCTGTCCATAAAAGGTAACGAAAGTTATTTACATTTTGGCGACAGAAGCTAAGATACCAATGGCAAAAAACAAGTCTTCTCTCTGGATCCCCTGCCAAAAGCGTTTGAACTGGTCGGTACTTATACGGAATAAATTTGTATTTTTTTAAAATCCTTTGAACAGTACCATAACTGAAATTAGAGTCCTTGAGAATATCTGCTATTGAATTCTCACGATAAGCTTCAAAATATCCAATAACTGCAATTTCCGTGGCCTCGCTTATTATGAATTCTTTTTTTGCCCTTGTTTTAGCAAAAACATTTTCGTTGCCCCTAAATTTTCGATAAAGTCTCAGAAAATATCCTTCATACGGTTGAATGCGAGCGGGATATAATTCACTGTAGTATTCTCTTGCTCTCAAGGAGGATTTTCTGCACACTAAATAGCATTCTAACATATCACACTTTTCTTCATGGGAGAACATTTTTCTTTAAATTAATGACACAATAAAGCTTATAAACAAGTATTTACACTAATGTTTGACATTATTTGATTTTATCATTGTTTTCCAAAGCCTTCTAGTTGCGAGTATGTCCAGTTTAACAATTTGTCGCTTATCTTAATGCTGTCAAATCGCGAACGCCATGTTGTTTTCATAGCCGTCTTAATATTATAATACTGCAAATAATTAAAAATATTTATCGTTATTTTGACTTTATTTTTGACTTTAGCGGAAAAGTCATTATGAACTTTTTTGTTTAAAATTTGATGCTTTAACAGAAAAAAATATAATATACAGGGGTTTCCATTTAAAAAATGTTATTTTACTGAAAAAAATCAAAATAACGACTCTCAATTGTTTTTTTTTATTTCTCATTTTTACCAGCATTAAAAATGCTACTAGTTTGCTAATTCAAACAACTTTGTATTTTCACTAATAACAAAGTTACTAATGGTGGACACTTAATTTGGATAACCCTGTATATGTGGGAATCACCGTTAGCTATTTGCAAAACATTATTACGCCTAAAATCTTATGTATATCTATTGGTATTGCTCAATATTTTATTAAAAGCTTCGTATAACATTCTAGCAAAATAGCAAAGGTGCGGAAACGTCCGATGAGCTGGCAACACCACAATCCAGGTGACAAGAATAACAAGGTCAGCTGTTAAAACGTATGTTTATCCCGGGGTACCCATGGAAACAATTTCGTACGACAAGGTGTCAATTTTTCAATCTTCATTTGCAATTTTTAAGTGTTATGCAACGATTTCGGGGAAAAATGGCTACGGATAGTTTTGTAGAGTCTCGTAGAGTATATTTAAACAGTTGTGTGCATGGCCATGTTATCTTTACTCGAGCCGAAATCACATCCAAACACCTTTTCAAAAGGTATATTCTTTAATTCACCGGTTGAGCTACCGGTGCAACCGGTTAGCCAAGTTTGCGTCCTTTAATTTCCGCTGGAACGACCGGCTGTACATCAAACTTGTCTCTATATTGATGGTGGATATGCCACCGGTGCCAATAGCATCCACTGACGCGACGTTCGGGCTCGGTTGATCCACGATATTCTAACCTCTACATTTTATCAGTTTTTGACAAGAAGAAAAGATTGAAGTTAGCAGCATAGGAGTCGCGTGAAATTTAATGTTTTTTTTTTCAACACAATTTGAAATAAACAGAGCATCTGAAAGCACGTCAATTTGTTTTGAATTATGCATATCGACGATCTCAAATCAATACGTCGTAAGTCCGAAAATGTCGATTTTCTGATTTTGTTCTGTTTTTATTCCTGTATGAGTACAGGAATGCTCTCAGAAAATCCATATCGATGGTTTTTATAAGGGAAGCGTCGACGATCTCAAATCAATGCCTCGAATTGATTTGAGATCGTCGATATCTGAAAATTTCTTGGTCTTCTGATTTATAGTTCTTATATTGATTCTCGGAGCGCAAATTCTCTCCGCTGGATAACTTCTTCATCAGAATCAAAACTCGAATCGCTTAATAAACGTTCCACGACAATACCAACTGCTGCGTACATTTCCATAATGATTTTAAATGATACGGTGTTCAAATTAACCAGTATCCATTTACGATAAAACAAAGGTTAGGTTTTCTCATATGACAGCAACCTGAAGGCTAGAAATCATCGACATATCAAAGGTTATGGACCTGCCGTTCGCGTTTGTTATTGACGCCGGCGCAGTGCAAGAGAGACAGCACGTGAAGGATAGAGCTAACGTGGGCAAACGTCGTACGTTAGATCTGTATTGTGCATGTGTTTCTTTCACTGTGGAAAGCTTTACTCATATTTTTGCCTTGAAATTAGTTTTAATTGTTGATTTTTCACAACTTCAAACCAATTACAAGATGGTGCAGTCTTGTTGTGCTATAAACTGTACGACCAGAAGAGAAAAAGGGGTGAAATTAAAATTTCTGAGGTAGGTTATGGCCAGTGGTTATGGCAAAGATTACAGAATTAAATAACAGAAACTTTGGTCATGAAAAGGCTATAACTAAAGTTTTCTACTTTCAGTATACCCAAGGATCCCGCAAGGAGGAAACAGTGGTTAGTTGCCATAAGAAGGGAGAATTTTAATCCGAGTGATAGGACAGTTATATGCGAAAATCACTTTACAAAGGACGATTTGAGCTAAATGTACATGGAAATACAGTTCTCAAGAAAACTGCAGTGCCTTCTGTTTTTAATTTCCCCGTACATTTACAGCAAAAAGTAGTAATAAGGAGACCTTTAAAACGAAAGATATCTGATAACAAAGGTTAGCACTTCAGTACATAAGTAATGACTGAACCGTCTATTGATTAATATTATTTACAGAACATGGTGCTATTGCCAGTACATCAGGCATAAATACTGAACCAGTATTAGGAGTTATGTCAAGTGAATCTGTCAGTGCTGAAAATGAGGATATAGATTCTGAGCAACCTACTACTACATCTCAAATGGAATTCCCTAAAAGGTAACAGGATAACAGTTATTGCTATTTATTTTCTATCTACTTGCTTACCTAAGCATTTATTAAATGAATTTACAGATCAGAAATTAGTTTCTTTCATTATGTGTTAAATGTTTCTTATTGTTTTAGAAGACGAAGAGATCCAATTTTCTTTGGGACTTCAAAGAAAGTGATTAGATGATGTGCAGAAGAGAAAAAGATTTGGAAGGTAGCTCATCATACTATAGCAAAGTCTAGGAGAAATATCAGGTATTATCAGTGCATAGCCAGAAGACAAAAGAAGAAGATAAAAAGCCTTAATTTATTGTTGGACGAATTGATGGAAAAAGAGAAAATTTTATCACAGCAGCTCATGGTATTGAAGGTAAACTATTTATTTTTTTGCATCACACATAGTTGGTTTGTTTGTTTTCTGTAAATACTTAGTAGTTTGCATCTTGTTCTTAATGTTCAGCTGCTGCACAATAAAATCCTTTGATCAGTAGAATAATTACTTGCTCATGGGAAGAATGCGAGGCACATACACACATATGTATAGTTGATTGTATAGTATGTATATATGCTCCATGAAGAAAGCAGCGCACTAACAGGCTCCATTACCATTGTTTAAGCAAGGTTCTTTTTTATATTTCTAGGAAAGTATTCCTGAAGTACAAAAGCCGTACTGTTTAGGCACCTCAAAAAGGGCATCAAAGGAGGAAAATATAGCCCTCAACTGAGATGCTTTGCTTTAACATTAAATTTTTATTCTTCTTCTGCATATCAGTATGTTAGAAAAGTGTTTGGCAAAAATTCTCTCCCGCATCCTAGAACACTAACAAAATGGTATTCTACTGTAGATGGTACACAGGGGTTTAGTGCAGAAGCAATACGGGCTGTCAAAATGAAAGTTGACATTGAAAAAGGAAAAGGAAAGCAACTTTAGCAGGTCTTGTGATTGACGAGATGTCCATTCGTGAGCATGTACATTGGACTGGTAGTAGGAATGTTGGATACATTGATTATGGAACTGGTATGCAGAATAGTGACCAACTACCACATGCAAAACATGTATTTGTGATAATGCTTGTAGGTTACAATACAAGGTGGAAGGTTCCCATTGCCTATTTTTTAGTAGATGCTTTATCTGCTGAAGAAAAGGCAATGTTAATTAAAGGGTCTTTCCTTCAGTTGGAAACAACTGGGGTGCTGATTAAAAGTATCACATTTGATGGGTGTGCATCCAACATTTCGATGGCAAATTTGCTGGGAGCAAAGCTCAGTTTTCCTGGAATGAAACCATATTTCATAAACCCAGTGAATAAGGAAAAAGTACATATCATTTTGGACGCATGCCACATGATTAAATTAGTACGTAATACTTTGGGTGATTGGGGCATATTATGTGATGGAAATGGAGACTCCATTAAATGGTATTATTTTAAAGAACTGGTGAAGCTGCAAGAGGAATCAGGGCTTCATTGTGCCACTAGACTAAGGTCTCGACATATTAACTATTACAAAGAAAAAATGAAAGTGAAGCTTGCTGTCCAGACCTTTAGTGCTAGTGTTGGTGATGCCCTAGAATACTGTAATCAGGACTTGAATATTACAAAATTTAGAGGTAGTGAAGCAACTGTTTCTTTCTGTCGAAAAATTAACAATATTTTTGACGTTTTAAATGTTAGAATTTCTATGGGAAAACTCCTTGTAAAAGGCCTCTTTTCAAGGGAAACAGCGAAACCTTCAAAAATTTTATCAAAGAATCTGTAGAATATTTAAGTTCATTGACAGATCAAAAGCACGATAAAGTAATAGAAACAGGCAGGAAAACTGGTTTTCTAGGACTCATTGTTTGTTTGTTAAGTGTTAGGAATTTATTTGAAGATGTGGTTGAGGGTGATAAGTTACAGTTTTTATTAACTTATAAGCTAAGTCAAGATCATCTTGAAATGTTTTTTTCAGCAATCCGTTCAAGGGGAGGCTTTTCGAACAACCCGACTGCCTGGCATTTCGAAAATGCATATAAAAGACTGTTAATTCATAGTGAAATAACTACCTCAGATAGTGCAAATTGTCTGGCACAGGACAATACCTCGATTTTAAATGTTACCATTGAAAGCAAAAATAACTCAATTTTTACTACTGACTATTATATGAACAGACAGAATCTTCAGATGCGGAAGATGAGTTATTCATTAAAAACTATAACACAATTGCCAACTGCACATATATTTGTGACATTGTTGAGTATATTGCTGGGTTTATCAGCAAGAAATTAGTTAAAGCATTAAATTGTAATGAATGTGCTAATGCTTTAACTTCGGACAATTCTTTGTCGCTGCTTTTAAATAAAAAAAATCGAGGAGGTCTCTGTAAGCCATCCAGAGATGTTGTGAAAGTGTGCATATGTGCAGAAGGCTTAATCAAATCAGAATCAAACTTTCGACACACTATTCGTTGGCTTGAAAAGTCATTTCCAGGATCAGGATCATTGCCTGCAATTAATTAGGCTTATATTAAAAAATTACTTTTCAATTAGAATACACCACATCAACACTACAAAAAATGAACCGCGCTATAGAATAAGGCAACATCTGACCAAAACTATCACCTTTAGCATCAATAATTCTTTTTTTTTATATAGAATAACTTTTTGTAATATCAATAATTATCATTAAGAATTTTTCATACTGTATTCTGTAGATTAAGGTTTTTGTTTTGTAAGTACGTGAATAAAAATTAATATTATATATATTATCGTTTTTTTTATCGAGTAGAAGTATAAAAATCCCATTCCCTTTGCCTAAATCTATTTTTATAAAGATATAACTTTAAAACCATCCAAATCCTGTTAAGCGCGCGGCTTTTTGCCCGCGTTAGCTCCGTCTCTCTCTCGGATGTTTCTTTCTAACGTTGGCTGCAAGCAGCTGTACGTACAAGGATAGGTACGGGCGGGTCCATAACCTTTAACATGTCAATGCTAGAAATGCGTCTTTTTATTAACGACCATTCAACGGAACCGGTTGCTGGCGTCATCACATCAGCTGTCAACCATGAGTTCACCGGATCCATCAGTGATGGAATCAACCGTTGAATTAAAGAATATACCTAAAACGAAGCTAAAAGGTCCATGCGTTGTGCGTTCATGTATCAATCACACGAACCTAGTTTAGAAGTCTGCCGCGCGGGGCTGCTATCACAAAACACATAAAGACTGAAGAAGTAGAAGCTGCAATGGCAACACCGTTGATGTTTGTCAGATGGCTGCGCCGCTTAAGCATCTATTACACAGGGCGAGATTAGTAGCCGATCGCCGGCGAGTAGCGAGTGAGCGAGTAGAACACGCTCAGCGAGCGCAAATTACACAGCGCTAGTAAAATCGCTTTACTCGCATCGTATTGAACCTTTGAAAAGTGTTTAGTTTGTATCTTTTGTGCGATAATAGAATCTAAAATGGCTGTTAAATGGAACAGTAATCAAATTATACAGTGCTTAAAAGTCTATGAACAATTTCCCGTTTTATGGAATATAAAACACAAAGATTACGTTAATATGAAACTCAAAGATGTTTTATTTAAGAAAATGTGGGAGCAATTAGAGGATAAAGGGCTTTTAAAAGGAATGAACGAAAAACAACTAAAAAACAAAATAAAGAATTTAAAAGATGTGTTTCATCAAGAACTGGCCAAGATAGAACGAAGCAAAAAAAGTGGCTGTGGAACAGAGGATATTTATACCCCAAAGCTAACATGGTTTGAAGCTGCCCATTTTTTCGCTGAAGTTTTGTCAACAAGGCATAGTAATTCAAACTTGGTAAGGAGATTTTAGAGCTATATATTTTTTATTCATACTTAAGCAAATTATACATAACAAATAAAGTTAAATTTTCTTTAACACTTTGAGCAGAATCAATTTGAAAAATAATAAATCACTTAAAAATATAAAAATTGTTCAAGCTAATTCCAATCCCACTTTTTTCCATTGCCACGGTAAAGGATTGTCTTCAATAAAATACTTAGCGTATTTGCGTCTTACTTCCTCTGCAGAATTTTTGTAGTTGTTGCTTCCCAAATGACTAACCGTTGGCAGATTGTTCACGTGGTTTCTCCATTGCCCAAAAGTAATATTGCCCGTGTTAAGATCCTCTCTATCCACGGCATTTTCAGGAAAATAAGTATTTGGTCTACTTTTTTTTAGCCAGTTGTGGAGACTACATGCTGCCAAAATAACATTGTCAATTGTAGTTTCTTTTAATTGAATTGGTCTTGAAAATATTCTGAAGCGCCACACAAGAATACCAAATGCATTTTCCGATACTCTTCTTGCGCGAGAGAGTCGGTAGTTGAATATCCTTTCAGTATTATTAAGCTGTGACTTACTGTAGGGTTTCATTAAGTTGGTTCTCAATGGAAAGGCATCGTCCCCAACAATGACCGAATTTTCAGGCATGTTAAGTGTGTTATTTTGCATTGCTATGTTCAAAGTACTGTCTCTAAATATTGCACTGTCACTAGCTCGGCCGTTTGCTCCAATATCAATGTAAGTAAAGCAATAATCTGCGTCCACCATTGCGAATAACACGATACTATATGTTTTTTTGTAATTAAAGTACATTGACCCAGACTTGGGAGGTTTTTTAATCAGAACATGCTTGCCATCAATTGCTCCACAACATCTTGGGAAATTCCAACGAAGGAAAAAATTGTATTGAATTTGTTTCCATTCATTGCTTGTTGAAGGCATCTGCAAGAAAAAAATATGATTTAAAAAATTTGTTCAATTCTTAAATCAAGCAAAAAGTTAAAAAAATCTTTACAAATTTGTTCTAATTTTTTTCAGACTCTACCCAGCACACAAAATATATCTGAGGAAATCTCAAATTCTCAAATTGAACAGCGTGACGATGAAGCACACAGCCCAAGGAACAAAATATAAAACCCTCAGAGGGGATGGGACCCCCTAAATCGAAAAAAAGGGTGAGAAAACAGGCAGATCCAGAAATTGGCGATGCAATCAGTCAGTTGAATAAAATAGCTGAAAATGTATCAGAAGGAAAACCGTACGACGAATTTGGAAAGTATGTAGCTGCAGAGCTGCGTCAATTATCCCAACGTGAGGCTATTTTATTGCAGCAAGAAATTCAGAATTCTATTACACGTGTAAAGCTAATGTGTTTGGGAAATGATAATCAACTAAATAATTACTACAGAGAGCCCCTTCAAGTACAAACTTTTTCACCGTTATCCTCCCCCAGTGATCCCAGCCCTGCCTCATTAGCAACATATGAAGCAAATGTGTTATGGTAACGATGTTATTCATCAAGCACTATTAAATACATTTTCGGGGTCAGAGTTTGAAATAGTAGAAGAAGTTTCTCAATGAAATAGATTCTATTTTTGATATAATTATAAAAATATTTTGTTTTATAAGTATAAGTATTGTGTTAAAAATAAATTGATACTTAAATTAAACCTACCTTTATATATGGCTTTAGGACCTGACAAATTGCTGCAAGTACTTCGGGTACAAACAATGAAATTGTACATTCAGGCACTCGAAATAAATATTCTAGTGATTTGAACGAATCACCAGTTGCCAAAAAGCGTAGGGTTATTTCTAGTTTTGTAGCAGTTGGAATCGCCAGCCTCATTTTTGTGTCTTTTTTGCGGATTGTTTCGTCAACCATTTGTAATAGTACATTAAACTGTTCATTGCTCATTCTCAAAACATTCCTATATGCCACAGGATCTTTATCCTTTAATTGTCTTAATAAAATATTAGAAGCCCCATGTGTGTCCCGTTTTGAAATCCAATTCCTGACCCACATCCGTCTCGCTTTCCTTTTTTTCTGGTTTAACCGTTCTTGAAGTTTTTTCCGAATTAAAAGGCTGACAAAAACAATTCCTACACGCACTATATCGGCCATTTTATCCAACTAGTCGGGCTTTAGCTTATTACACAGAGCGTTTTCACTCGTCAGAGAGAAACATTGCGAGCGAGTAGCGAGAAAAGTAGGCCGGTGTTCAACTTTACTCGCTGGGAAAAAGCGAGCCGCGAGTTTACTAGCAGCTGCGATTACATTTGACGACTTTTATAGCAGCGAGTAAATTCGCTGACGAGCAACTACTAATCTCGCCCTGTGTAATAGATGCTTTACTTGCCTGGAGATCTGGAGGACCTATCGAAAATCGAAAGAATGCCGAGAATGCGACTGGAATAAGGAATGCTAGAGAATTTGCCGGACTGCCGGGGATTTCGTTTGTTCATTATTTGAAATCTGCTGAAAATGATATTTCCGATATTGAAGATATATTCCATGAAGATATATTTATAAAATATTCCCAATAAGGGTAATATCTCTTCCAGCAGTTTTTCAGAGAAAAAGGTTCAGAAAAATAAAATCCAACCCTACATATGAAGCACCAAATTAATTAAGTTTCAAAAAATATTCATATGCTGTTGACACTGGTATAAAAATTATATTACATGAAAATATAGATAGATTTATTTCAAATCCATATTGAGTGTGTGTGTGAAACACAAGTGTCTCACTTCATTGTACCGCTTCTTGATAATTCTGAAACAATACTAATGTAGTTCATAATTCTTCGTAAATAAGCTTAGTCACTTATGATCAGTTTGCTCAGTTCTATGCCATTAATTTGTTGGACTTTCATACGTTATATAACGGTCCCAACTACAAGGATTATAAAGAGGCTGAATCCAGACATGCAATTTTCAATATTCTAGCAGATACATCATGCCGATATGTTAAGTTTACAGCCTACATATAGCACTTTATGACATGAGAGTCTCTTGATCTTCTGCATCTCCCACAATAGTCACAATACATCTCACGTATAGCATCACAGCTACTGATAGTGTTAGGTACTTTGTATTTTATGCTCATTTTTTACGAAATATCTCCAAGAGCATCTGCGTTGATAATCTAGATATTAACCAAAACAAACGCCATATTTGATATTTTTACATTCAGATAAAGAATAAAGATAGAGTTTCAGTCACGTTGGTCGCCAAGTTTTGATGAGCAAATCGCCAAAAATCGACAATCCTTAAGTGAAAATTAACTAGGAGTTAGCCTGTCTAGCTGTCGACGATAACTGAAGAGTGAAGTTAAGGGGGGTTAGGCATAATAATACTCCAAGAATCCATTGAAAAGCGGGGGGTGAGGATGGGGAGTTGTTAGACACGAGTGTAATATTAACGAAACTATAAGTTTGTTCACAACGAGCTGATCCAGAGGGTCATTTTAAGGTGGCAGGACTTCTGGCGTATGTTCTTGTGGTATTGTAATAGCGGGAAAACGATAAGGAACCGACTATTGAAAATTGAAGAGCGGGGATACCATGATTTTCTGCGTATTTACCTTTCCCCAGCGATCTTTTGGAGGGGGGAGGGGGTGGCTCTCTTTCTATCTTCTCCCGTTTAGTGTACAAAAATTGTAATAATCGTACATCAAGCAACACTGTGTCAAATGTACTAGGATGGAATGTCCTTGATATGCTCGGAACACGAAACCTTGATGTGACATTTGACCATAAGCGTCATTGTGCTTAGAGAAGAGAACTTCCTCTGGTCCTCGTTTCATGTTTTCTTTATTAAATGTATTATTTTTATTATTATGTGCAGTATTTCACTGTAATTTCAAAATATTATGTTACTCTTGACGTTACCCCAAAATATCTATAGGCACGCACATGGAAAATCTCAAATCTTTTATGATTATGCGCACATTGTGGATACGAGATGTAGATGATTAAAAATTTGATAACAATTCGTAAAAATACAAATGTACATAAAGCAAAAACACTACCAGTATTGCTCTGTTTGTTCTTGCACATAAGATGGGAATATTGATCGGAATCACTTTTAGCTACTTTGCAAACATTATTACGCCTTAAATCTTTATATATATATTTAACACAAAATTTAATACTGTTCGTATGAAAACAACTAATAAAAATTAAAGTCCACATTCACTATGTACTGCCCGATTAATACGCTGGTGTTTGTTTGTTTGTTGACGGAGTAGTTGTCTCAGTTTGATTGAACTTTGCAAAAAGAATTTAAATAACACTTTTCCTGGGCGTTGGATTGGACGAGAGGGCGCAGTTTCTTGGTCACCCCGCTCGCCCGATTTAAATCTCCTGGATTATTACTTGTGGGGACATATGAAGTATCTAGTGTATGCACAGAAATCGCATACCAGGCCTGAACTGCTCAGTTAAATTACTGATGTCGCTGACGACATACGTATTAATTGTCTTGTTACTGGGAAAGCCAACAGTCACATTATTAAACCGGCTAGAGTATGTTTACAGTGCGAAGGTGGACACTTTGCACAGTTGAACAGTTATTTTTATTGTACCTAGTAATTTTGTGTTAAATAAAAGTAATTTTCCAACAATATTGTGGTTTTCCCACCATTAGCACCTTAAACATAAAAAAGTCATTATCTCGACAAGGAAGTATTTGCGGACCCATATTCATTGAACTTTTTCCACTCGAATTGACCTGAGGAACACGTAGAAAAATTTTGTCCCTTACCTCGCGGGATACCCTGTATATACATGGTGTTCCTTAATGATATATTTGAATATTTAAGGGTGTGGATCTACATGAAAAATTAATGTTACTTTGCTTTATAAACTGTGGTCCAAAAATGTTTCCTTACAAAAACTCGGCGTGTTGAAGCTTTAGGAAAAAAATGTAAATTAATTAATATTTCAAGTACCGCTTCAGATATTTAGTACGTAGTGAAAGTTAACAAAGTTGCGTATTTTTCAATGCAAAAATAATTTGTAGCCTTAAAAGTCGCGTGCATACGGGTATCGACTTCGATATTTTTTAAGAAAAAAATGGTACGCCAAAGGTTTTTTGCCAAATAATTATTTTTGAATTCTCCGTTCAATTTAAAACAAATGATCATACTTGAATTGTTTTTCTTTGATGCGCCATTTTTGAGTAAAAAAATTAAAACCGTTCTATAATCTAACTTGCAAAATTATTATTAATTTAATTGGAAAAATTAAACAGATTAGGGGTAATGAACAACAACAACTGACAACATAAACATAACATTAAAACCAACGAAATGATTACAAAAATTGTTGAAAATGGCCCCCTTCACTTAGTATGCATGCCCTCCTTCTCACGGAATTGCGCACTCGTTGAAATATCCCTGGAGTGTTTTTTATTCTATCACAAGCTGCAACTATTATTTCTCTCAATTCCTCTACAGTGTTAACGGGACTTGTGTACACTAGTGTCTTAAGATAGCCCCACAAAAAGAAATCTAAATTGTTGAGGTCTGGGACCTTGTTGGCCATTCTTGGGCCCACCGCGGCCAATCCAAGGATTTGGATAAACAGTTTGTAAATAATTACGAACCGCTACACTGAAATGCGCTGGTGCACCATCATGCATGTACCACATATTGTTTCTTATTACTAACGGAACATCACGAAGCAGCAAAGGCAACTGTTGTTGAAGAAAATTGAGGTAAGTCTGTCCGTCAAGTCGTCCCGGCAAGAAGAATGGGCAATAAAGTGGTTGCCAATAATTCCTGCCCAAACGTTAACCGAAAATTGGTGTTCGAAATGGAATTCGGTTATGGCATAGGGATTTTCTTCTGCCCACAAATGATTATTGTGGAAATTCTGAAATGCATTTCGAGAAAAATTAGCTTCGTCCGTGAAGAGAATCATTGATTCAAATTGCGGATTTTGTGTAATTATTTGAAGATACCACTGACAAAACGTCGCAAGCCTTGGAAAATCAATGGGAAGTAATGCCTGTACTCTTAAAATATGGTAAGGATATAACGAAAAATCCACTAAAATTCTCCAAACAATTTTATGTCAAATACTTAAGTGTCTAGCGATCTTCCTCGTACTCGTTTCAGGATCTTCTTCGACTTCGTGTAGCACTGCTTCCTCAATTTCAAGTGTTCTCACACTTAGAGGTCTAAATTCAGATGTTCCTTTTCGGACAGAACCTGTTTCAACAAGACGACGATGAATATTAGAAAAGGTTCGACTATCTGGCAAAGCACGATCGGGGTATCTCTGGTAATAAATCCGTCTGGCTTGCTCACCATTACCGTCGGCAAGGCCATATACGTAATGCATTTCCGCCATTTCTGCATTTGAATAATTCACCATTATTAACAAGATTGTAAAAACTAAATAATGAAAAAGATGTTACAGCGAACATATTTGAATAACAGACAGACTTGTCAGATGTCAAAAGCCAGTGACATATTCCAGAGCAACTAGATATTTTAGTGATTGACGAGACGGAATTTGGGTGGAGATTTACCGAGGGTCCCTCGTATACTTCATACCCAAATTGGACAATGAGGTTTATAGTGTCACGTTCCGTCGCGTCAATCACTTGTCATCTGTCGACGCATTATCTTTCCGTGCCGTCCCCCTCTCCACGTGTAGCGGAAGTAGGATGTTAGAGACTGCATTCCGATTGTTTCCCTAAAATGTCTTCTCATGTTCAATAATTTTTAATATGTTCGGGTGTATTGATATTGTTAACATGTAACGAAGGTATCTATCGTTATCAACAAGCCCAATGTCTCCGTCCTTTTGTTTTTATACTGATTACAAGTTCTATCTTCTCTACGTTCGTTTTGAAACACCTTGTGGCTGCAACCTCAACGACGAGTAAGTTGTTTGACAATTTAAATCTGTCCTGTTTTCTTTGCTAGCATCACAATTGTGTTTTCAGAATCCTGATGAAGGCTCCATAAAGAATGCCGAAAGCTTGATTTTATCGTCAAAAGAGTCAACTTAAGCCTAAAAATTTGCCAATTTTCCAATTAACAATTAATTGTATTTTGTGCCCAACTGGTCATTGGCTTTGGCAATACTACTGGTCATATACATATATCTATATATATACTCGTATATATACAGGTATATATATAAGAACACAACACCCTTGTTTTCTTTGTTCTTACACGTACAATGGGAATATATCGGAATCATCTTTAGCTATTTGGCAAACTTATTACGCCTTAAATCTTATGTATGCCCATTGGTGTTTCTCAGTATTTTATTCAAAGCTTCTTTGTTTCTAACATTCTAGCAAAATAGCAAAGGTAGTGAAAACGTCCGATGAGCTGGCAACATTGGAATTTAGGTGACAAGAATAAAAAGTCAGCTGTCAAGACGTATGTCTATCCCGGGGTCCAGAGTACCCGGAGCTATTTCGAATTTAAAGTCCTCAATTTTTCAATTTTCATTTTTTCAAGCTTTGTGCAAAAATTTCGGACCAATAGTTTTAAATTAATATGAACTGTAAATGGAGATGGTTCGTAAAACCTTACGAAAAACAGGGCGGAAAATGGTAATAGCAATCTAAAAAGATGATGGAAGGGCAATGGGCAAGGGTTTGCCGAAATGTCATCAGACGTTTAGGATGATTTTGGAGGTTATCGTTTTGACAGGACAATCGCAAACCGCGCTTAGGTGCGCTAAGTAAAAATTCCAGTGTCCGTAATTCCCTGATTCTAGACTTCCCATATTGTAGGAGGCATCGCAAATATTTCACTTTTATAGTAGTTAAAATATACTAATTGCCGGTCAAAGTTTCTTGTGGGAAAACGCAGGCGCGCAAGATAGTCACATTTTGGGCGTATGATGTGACTGGTGATGCGCGGGGTTATTGAAGATCCAAGCGCATTTCACGCAAATATCGTCCGATCTAACTAATAGTATAAATTCTAGCGCCAGTCAAACGACTTCGATTCAACGAAACCGTAGTGAACGCGCCGGACGACAGTGAGCGTGGCCAATATAGTGATGAAGGAGTACACTGAAGTGACAATGCCCAACTACTCCTACATGTTCAACTTCGAGTCGGACTTTAAGCACCAAAGCACCCGAACCTGGATGCAGGACAACTGGACGCTAGGATTTTACTATGTGGGGATATACATGGTGCTCATTTTTGGAGGACAGTATTTGATGCAAAATCGACCTAAATTTGAGCTACGCGGCATTCTGGTCCTTTGGAACACTCTACTGGCGACGTTTTCTCTTATGGGTGCTTGTAGAACAGTTCCTGAATTCATACACACTCTAACTCATCATGGGCTCTATCATTCTGTGTGTGTTCCTTCATTTATTGAGCAAGATAAAGTCTCAGGATTTTGGACATGGATGTTTGTTCTGAGCAAGCTTCCTGAACTGGGTGATACTATATTTATAGTTTTAAGGAAGCAACCTCTTATTTTCCTACATTGGTATCACCATATTACAGTACTGCTCTATTCCTGGTTTAGCTATACAGAATATACTGCCAGTGCAAGATGGTTCATTGTAATGAACTATTGTGTCCACTCTGTGATGTACTCCTACTACGCTTTAAGGGCTATGAGGTAAGATCTTTTCTTAACTTTTACATATGTAATTGATTTTTACATGTGACAAGATTTGCTACTTTTTGATATGAGCTGCATGAAGTTTTTTCACAGTTGTACATATTATATGAGGAAAAGGATTACTGAGAAACAATTGAAAATTTAGTATTCTGAATGAATGTATGAAAGCACAACTGATAAGTTGGTGAAAAATTATATTGCTAAAACGATGATAAACAGTGACGGTACACACTTAACATAACCACATATTTAGGGATTATTGCAGGTTTATAAGTTTTGCTAAGATTTATCAATACTGAGAACAAGGTATCTGAATTATGGGTGAATGTATGGTAATTGGGTTTTTAGTGTCAACTAAGAAAAATAGTGTATTTTGTTTTCATATTCATTATGTCACATTCATGATATTTGATACATATTTTACAGCGTCAGATAATATTTTTACTTTGAGAGCTTTCATACGTAACAGGTGAAGGGGGGATGACACTTAAACTTTTAAAAAGATAGGGTGAATGTGCCAGTAACCTGGACACTACCTGTAGTCAGACAAATGTTATATTATTGGTAAAAACTTGAATAGTTGAAATCCTATACTTGCTGGTAATTGATACTGGATTTATCAACTAATTTGTAACAGTTTACAGAAATTTCACATCCACAGTTGTCATATTGACAACAGTATTAGCACATAAAAAAAAGCATCCATCCAATTCCTCAATTTTTGTAATTTGTGTAGGCAAGTAGGATCGTCATCTGACAATATATAAATACTGCTCTTGTTACATATGCCAATAAAATTCAAGATTTATGATATGAATCAATCTTAATAGGTTATTTTAAGATTTTGAGGTCAAATTAGAGTTGGCGCTGACTGGATCATCATACTAGTCAAAGTCTTGTCCGACTTTTGGAATTGCATGGTCGTTGTCAATTTATCTTTTCTATTTAAACATAGAAAATATCAAACTTTTCTCTTGAAATTAAACAAACTAAAATATCCCCAGCTAGTGGATGGACAGTGAAAGATGACAACCAATGTGGATTATGGCCAGTGATATTGTGTTAGACTATTAGACTGAACAAATTTTTATAGCATCCCAATAACCAGCCACTTCCATTTGAGAGTAACATGTCAGATTTCCATTTTATTCGGAATGGTTACCATGATAAAAATAAATTCTGGATATATAGTGAAGGCAGGCTAAAGGAAACAGTTGAACTGGTGAAAATTTTTGGGAAATTGCTAGAAATATGTAAACAGCTGATTTGAAGTTTCTGTTCTACTATCACAAATTTTCAAATAAGGTTCTGTCTAAAACTGTCCAATCAAATGCTGTCTGGCAATTGGAAACTAGCTGGCCGACCAGTAGCACCTCTTGTCCGAGTACTGGAACCTTTTTGTTTAATATTTTTTTTATAAAATTACAGGAATATCTATAAGCAACGTATTTGTTGTCGGCGAAAAGTTAACAACATATGTGATCACCTTGTTATCTTGAACACAAAATTTGTAATTACACTTTGTATTCCATTTTTGTCTAAACTGTCCGACCACTGGCACACTCACCCTACTTTAGACATGATATAAATAGTACTAGGCAAAAAAATCAATAGTTCCTCATGAAAAATAGCAATTTTTCAGATCCATTGGTCTTGAAACAAGAGATATAGATTGATAGCTCACAGACCCTCAGAGTAGGGGTTGTTTTTAGAAGCTTGTTTTTGATAGCAGGTGGCAACCATTGCTTTCATTACTTATATTATTTTATTGTAAGGAAATGACAAACAGTAGAAATTAGTAAAAGAAGAAGACTAGAAGAACAATTGATAGAGAAGTGATGTCAGGGTAGTGACCTAAAAAATATTGACATAGGTATATTAATTATTATATTATTGTATATGATTCATGAATTTTGTATTCAAGAATACCTAGTTCTTTTTGTCATAGTTGCAGTAAATGTATAATTGAAAATCACAAAGATATTATTACTAGGGTAAGTGCTGGAACCAAAAGGATATTGGCCAACACTATGTGAGAAACTGACATGTTCCTGGTTTCAGTAGGCCAAATCGCGGTATGTCCTTTTGTAAAAATATGTATGTGTATTTGTATCTATACAAAGAGTATTTGTATATTGTTATACCACATACGAAAACAGAGGTTTGTTGATATTTGCAGTGGAAGTTGGGAATTTAGCACACCAGGCCAAAGGAAATCTTGTTAATTTTCAATTATATTGTGTCTTAATTTTAATGGTTACCTCAATTTCATCATGTTCCAAGTAAGGAATGACATTTTACACAACTTTTTTGGCATAAAATTAAAATCCCAAATATCATTTATTCACCTTCACTTCAAACTATCTTATCATAAACATATATCTTATCCTGTATGATTTTCTTCATATTTATCGAGAGCAAATAAAGTGGTTGCTATTTTTATCTGTAGTATGTGGGTATTTTCTTCTGAATTAGTGTTTGACCCTTTTTATTCCCAAGTCTTATAGTAAGACAGCAATGTAACATCTGAAACTTATCATGTGGTTTATATGTTGATAATCCCCCATGCCCCAAGCATGGGATATCAGTAAGGTAGCAGTCATTATTTCATATTATCATAGTAAAATTTCAAGGCATCCTTGGTATCCCAGTTTAAGTATCTCAATATTAAACATACATTCCAATCATATCTCATTCATCTTCAACAACTTATAAATTCATGTACAAATCACATAAAGATTCCACAAAAAAATGTTAAAAGACAGCCATCGATGTCGAATGGAATTATAACATCTGTTAACAGAAAAATTAAACTGTATAGAGAAATAAAAAGATTCCACATGATTTAGAACTTCTGAATGAATTCAAACTATACAGAAATGAATTAACCACAGTTATAAAAGAGGCTAAATTAAAATTTTTGAAAAATGAACTTGCCAAACATAAATTCTTCGACCAAAATGTGGCTTTTGATAGAAAAAATGCAACATTCTCAAAAATTACAAGAAATTCCCGCTGTACAAAAAGAAAATGGCGAGCTTACAAAAAAACGAGTATCGAAACAGGCAACGAATTTTGTAAACTGTTTTCTGAAATTGGTGAGAATCTGACAAAAGACATTTCAAATGAAACAACTTATATTTACGAAAACCATATTGCAAAATTCCCTGTATCTGACACCGACTGATCAATATGAAATTGAACCTCATAAAGGGACTGAAAGTAAAGATATCAGAGGGGTTTTGATAACATAACTGCATACATTCTGGAAAAAATAAATTATAAAATTTCTGAAGCACCAGCATATCTTATAAACATCTGCATAGAAAGAGGAATGTTCCCGACCCAATTAAAAAAGTAAAACCTGTATTTAAATCTGGACCTTGTAATTATCGCCCAATGTTAGTATTAACAAACTTTTCAAAAATATTCGAAAAGATTCTTAAAAAACGCTTTTCAAACTTTATTGCAAAATACAACCCTACAGGGTTATCCAAATTAAGTGTCCACCATTAGTAACTTTGTTATTAGTGAAAATACAAAGTTGTTTGAATTAGCAAACTAGTAGCATTTTTAACGCTGGTAAAAATGAGAAATAAAAAAAACAATTGAGAGTCGTTATTTTGATTTTTTTCAGTAAAATAACATTTTTTTAAATGGAAACCCCTGTATATTATATTTTTTTCTGTTAAAGCATCAAATTTTAAACAAAAAAGCTTACAATAACTTTTCTCCTAGGTTACAAATTGTTGAAGTTATGGCCTCCAATCTGAAACAATTAAATTGTATCGACAAACTTTATTTTCAACATCAACTTATAATCTTACAAAATACAATAACAATTTTTTTTAAAGAAGATGCTCGAAAACACCACCTTGTTCTTCAATACATTTTTGGGCACGTTTTTCAACTGCTCGAACTGTCTTAAGTATGGTCCTACCATCTATCTGGGTTATCTTTTCCCTAACTGCAGTCTTTAACGCGTCAAGGTTATCGTACCTTCGCTTGTAAATTTGGTTCTTTAAGTAACCCCACAAGAAGTAATCAAGTGGGTTTAGATCTGGTGATCTGGGAGGCCACTGTATTGGGCCATTTGTTCCTATCCACTGATCATTAAAAGTAGTACTTAGAAAATGATAAGTACCTCTGGAGTTGTGGGCAGGTGCGCCATCTTGCTGAAAATGCAGATGATGTCTACTTATAAGATCCAATTCGTCTAAGAAATTAGTCAGAATTTCTGACATAAATTCCACATATCTTTCACCAGTTAGGGTTCCCTCATAAAAGAACGGTCCAACAACTTTTGAACGAATTATACCGCACCAAACGTTGAAACTGAAACGGACTTGTGGGCCTCTTGGATGTACTAACAAAAGATTTTCTCTTGACCAATAATGGTGGTTTTTTCTATTAAACATTCCAGAATTTGAAAAATTTGATTCATCTGTCCATAAAAGGTAACGAAAGTTATTTACATTTTGGCGACAGAAGCTAAGATACCAATGGCAAAAAACAAGTCTTCTCTCTGGATCCCCTGCCAAAAGCGTTTGAACTGGCCGGTACTTATACGGAATAAATTTGTATTTTTTTAAAATCCTTTGAACAGTACCATAACTGAAATTAGAGTCCTTGAGAATATCTGCTATTGAATTCTCACGATAAGCTTGAAAATATCCAATAACTGCAATTTCCGTGGCCTCGCTTATTATGAATTCTTTTTTTGCCCTTGTTTTAGCAAAAACATTTTCGTTGCCCCTAAATTTTCGATAAAGTCTCAGAAAATATCGTTCATACGGTTGAATGCGAGCGGGATATAATTCACTGTAGTATTCTCTTGCTCTCAAGGAGGATTTTCTGCACACTAAATAGCATTCTAACATATCACACTTTTCTTCATGGGAGAACATTTTTCTTTAAATTAATGACACAATAAAGCTTATAAACAAGTATTTACACTAATGTTTGACATTATTTGATTTTATCATTGTTTTCCAAAG